TAAGCAAAGCATTTCAGCGCATGGGGTGTCAAAAATACTTTTACAAAGTTTGGGGCGTGTTCCTTGCACCAATAAAAGGACAAAAGTTCATATAAGCATATGTCCTTATATCCTTCGTTTTTGACATATTAAGTTTAAAGTTTACGCCAGACGCTGTTAAATGTAGAAACCATAATACAATCCAAAAATACTTTTTACAAACTTCGAATATCCTGCCATTGTTAAACGGACCACTTCTTAGTTAACTCACTACTACACAAGTTAAATTTTGACGACACACTAGCCACAGATGTACATGAATGACAAATGTAATATAGTCTACACGGCAACACAGCGCCATCTACCGTAAACTTACTTTAAACTCAAAAACGGAGGATTAGTAAACATATGTTTATATGGACTTTTGTCCTTGTTTTGGTGCGAAGAACCCGGCCCTAAAGCTTGTAAATGTATTTCTGATACACCCCGTGTATTTCTGCTTTGATTTGAGAGTGCAGTATTTATAGAAACGGGAAATTGGTGAGCCGAATTCGTATTCCAGATAAAAAAATAGTTTATGTTTCATAGTAACCTCTTTAGAAAAACATGATTCAGTATCTCTTTGCGTATACTCCTGTTGTTAAATATCTTGTTTAACATTTATTATGACTGGCATACCACAATGGCTAATGGATTAAAAAAAAAGAGGCTATCCCAAAGCAAATCACTACCAAAATTAGACGATCTGGCAGTCGGAGGAAAATACTATTCTTAACAATTGCTATTCATATTTACATTTTAATCTATACAGCATACACCCTTGTGCATATTAATTGAAACAACCGCTTTAGTTTCCTTTCTTCCACCATATGGTCAGTGTTAGACCCACTGAAGTGACAAGGTGTAATCGATTTCTATTTCATCCTCAGATTAGGTCATTTGCAGTAGTATGCAAGTAATATCAATCTATTTTCGAGGTGTATGATGAAATTTGTTTGGCCTTGAAAAATATTGCATCAGATTTTTATCACGCCCAGACGCTATTGTCTCGACTGTCGATTAGTTGTCCCACGGCCATTGCCTGCGATGGACGTTATTCCAAGAAAGCGTACGAAAATTGTAACGCTGCACGAACACACTGGCAAGCCTTACCAGTGGGTAAATCAAACTACTATAGACTGGCCCGGAAACTCTCCTAATTTAAATCCAATCGAGAATCTGTGGTCAATCTGTGCGCAAGGAACGACTTCGTAGAATCGACATACGAAGTACTAACATGTGCACTGGATCATGTTTCATTGGAAAAATACGAAAAAAAGTAGATAATAACGGAATCATTCGTTTTGTTTCAATTAATTTGCACAAGGGTGTAGAAAGAAATATTAGCGTTTTCGAAAAGTAATTACGTATTTCACTGCTTTGTATTATAAGGGAGAACGGCAGCAGACTTGTAGAGAACGGCGTGTCTAATTAGTTCGTTACCACTTCTATCTGACAGTTTTTTCGTGTATTTCAGAGTTTAACCTCAAGGAGCATTATAACTTTTAATAGCAACGTATTCGCCTTTGTTTACTGTATGAATTCCAAAATGGCTAGTACTGCTGCAGAGACATTTAAAAGTGAAGTGTACACTGATGCGGTAAGGCTTTTCCATGTCAAATGAGATCTAAAACGGTTTAAAAACAGTAAATGTGACATATACGACAAGCCTCGTTCGGTGAAAAAATTCACACTGAATCAAGTCCATTTTAAAGAGATGTTGTAATGTTGGCTTTGTTCAAAATAGCCGGGAATTAGGAAGGCTATTGTTAGAGAAAGCATTGAAGGAACAGAAGACTAGATAGAGAAAACAAAGAAGAAGAGTTTTACTCAATACTCATACATAGAAAAGTAAAACTTGAGTAAATCGACTACTCCTCAAATCCTACTCTCACGTTGCTATTTGTCAGTCGGAGCAGTCCATTGTCGCAGTGGTAGGGAAGAGTAAGAATTATGCTGAGATCTACTCAAAAAATCAAAGATTTGGTGTACAAAATTAATGTATCATATTCAACTCTTCACAAACAACTCAAGCGAACTGAGAGAGAATTTTGGATCTTTTTGCTTGAAAACCGAATACAGCGTTCTACCATCTGTAGTAGTCTTTAAACCAGAAATGCCAACTTTGCGGTTTTGCATCGCATTTTGCATGTGGTGAAAAGTATGTTTTGCATATTAACATAAAGAGAATGTGTTCACAGAAATTCTTGTTTTGTGTCTGTTAGAAAATGGAAGGTGTTGTCCATTACGATCTACTGAAGCATGGAAGGACCCTCACTGCAGATGTTTATTAATATCAACTGGATCGGGTAAACGAAGCATTACGTCGAATATTTCGTTATTTGGTAGAAAAGGTGTTATTCTCCAGCGGAATAATACAAGGAATGGTTTACTCTGCAAAATAAAAATCAAGGAAAGATAAGACTGTTGACATTCGGGGTTCTTCCACAACTCTCCGTATTCACGAGATTTAGCACTTCGAAATTTGCATTTGTTTCAGTCACTAGCACATTTCATAAGCTTCGTAGCATTCAGAAACAAAGATGAAAACAGTCGTTCAAACATTCTTCGGCAAAAGAAATCAGACTTCTTTAAGCATGGAATCGAATATTCGCCATTCCATCGTTAGGTTTCAGTCGTAGAAAATGAAGGCGATTTGGAATTCTCATGTATTCTAAAAATTTTACTTCTCATAGTTCATATTTGGATTCGTAAGCATTGAAACTGAGCCTTTTTCTGGGTCCAGAACAACGTGAATAATTGGCCATGGTTAAAAGTAATTGGCAGAAATTCCCAACAAACAGAACTGACAAAATTTCCAATAAACAAAGAGAAAGGAAAGAAAAGAATAGGGCAAAGATAATACTAAGCAGGCAATATATATATATATTATAAAATAACTGATTTAAAATATGGTTTTTCGCTACACAGTTCAAACCATTTTGTAATTAAATTAAAGACATTAGTTCCATTTCATCCTCAAGCGAATTTTGGAGTAACTTATTTTTAAATTTACTGGGTTTTAAAGGCACGGCAAAAAATTATAATTTACTGTTTCCAAGGGTACAGAGAAATCCATTCATCCAGACAAGGGGTGGTTTATTTTCATTAACTTTTATTGTATCAGTTATTAGTTACGTTTGAAAAAGGGATTACGTTTAGGTAGGGGTAGGGATATATTTTTACAACGAATTCTGACATCCGTTAAATGCATGTCGTCTGGATTTTTAAAAAGTTTTATTGTTAACGGCAAAAATTCTTACGGAATTTTTTTTCTATTTATATACTTAAAGATTTTTTTACATGGATGTTTAGGTTACAATACGTTTTATTTAACTACAATTTTAATATATATATATATATATATATATATATATATATATATATATATATATATATATATATATGCGTTTGTGTGTGTGCGTTTGTGTGTGTGTGCGCGCGCATGCAAAAAAACAAAAGTAGGCAAAGCATCAGTTATAAGGCAAAACGTTCATGTACTAAGAATGATGTTAAAACACAAAAGTCAGATAGACAATTGATTGTAGCGTTCTGACCTAAAAACAAGAAAAAACAAAAATATGGCGGATGAAATCGAAAATTGGTCTATCTTATTGGCGCGGATGAAATCCCAGCATGCATCTGTAGGATTTGTCTATACATTTAGGGAGTGAAATGTTTTTGCAGTTATACCATGCCTGATTGGAACCAAGACTTTTTCGATAAATAATATTTCAATGTATTTAATTTATATTTGTGTTATATGTCCTTCCGGGTAAAACATGATTCTTTTCTGAATATCCTAAGTTGTATTCCTTCTTTGCATTTTTTATTCAGGTCAGTTATTTCTTTTTCACTATTCCACATATCTTTTCTTGTTATTAATTCACTTGTCTCATAAGACGCCATATTTTGTTATTCCCTTAAATATATTTAAAACTGCACTTTGTCTTATATACAAAGCTGGAGGTTCACTTCAGTTAATTTTATCCCAAATGTCCACTGCCGTAGGTTATCATTTTACCTCATACGTTCATTTTTATTTAACCCGACTCCTTAATAATACTGTTTACTAAAACGGCTTTCTTGCTTCTCTTTCTTTCTTGTCACGTTGAAACACTGATTCCCATTCCCGATCACCGGTTAATCAAAGTCATGTCTCGTAAGTACCTCGATGGGTGACTGCTTGGGAATTGTAGGAGCTTTAAGCTTCTATATGAAGGTGATTTGATGTATAATGGATCGGAATTAAAAATTCCGGTTGGGTCCTTTATATTCAGTTACGCGCAAATAACCTTGAGAAAGGTATGAGTCCACCTGTTTCCCCGCATCTATGGGTTAATTAACATGATTTTTATTAGTAAATCGTTATTATCTCAAAAATTGTTTACAATCTAAAAATAATTTCTGGCCTTAAGTAATTTGAAAAAGGGTGATAAACCGAAAAAATCAACCAATCAAACAACATTATTATTATTATTATTATTATTATTATTATTATTATTATTTGAGGAAGCAGTACGCAAAAAAAAAAGTGATGTTGAGGTACAAATCTATAAAACCAAAAATACCCATCATGTCACCCCGTCTGTGACGGGTATACAAGGCACATGTATCACAGCCAAATGAAGGCGAGATCGTAACAAGTTTTGATAAATGCAGCTTGGGTACAATTAGAAATACCCACAGCTCGACTAACTCAAACTATGCAAACGTTATCGCCTTGGTTGCTTCAATCTTCATACTTAAAACGAAACAAGCATCTCTAAAATCCGACGAACTTAGTGAGCAGGAAAGTAAAAAGAAATTAAATTAATTAAACACTTCGTTAGATCAACCTCACGAACCAAGTTTGTACTGCTAATCATTGAGCTAAATTAGGGCCTAACAGCGATAATGTGTATATATATTAGCAATTTTATTGCAGATCGAAGCGTTAAAATATTTATGGATTAAGGTAAAAAAATGGCACATTTTTCTCATTAAGTGATTTTTTCAAAATAGAAAGGAAGAAAATAAATAAATGAATAAATAAAGAAAGAAAGAAAGAAAGAAAGAAAGAGAAGAAAGAGAAGAAAGAGAAGAATGAGTTGAAAGCAGTTAAAAGCAAGAAGAAAGAAAAAAAGTTGAATGCAGTTGAAAGCAAAAGGAAAGAAAGAAAGAAATAAAAACAGAAAGGAAAAGTTGAATGCTGTTAAAAGTGAAGAAAGAAAAAGTTGAATACTGTTGAAACCAAAATGAAATAAAGAAAAAAACTTGAATGCTGTTGAAAGCAAAAAGAAAAGAAAGACTGAAAGAAAAAAAGAAAAAGCTGAATGTTGTTAAAAAGAAAAGGAAAAAAGACATGAAAACAAGAGTTAAAAGCAACAAAAAAAAAGAAAGAGTCGAAAGCAAAAAGTCGAAACAAACAAATAAGAACAGAAAAAGTGAAAAGAAGAAAAAGAAAAAATAATCATATGAGTTGATGATCCAAACAAAAAAAAAATATAATTCAAAAGATGGCATTGTAATTTTAGAAACCAGAACATATCAGTTTAATAAAACCGATGCTTAATGATGGTTATTCGTGGTAAGGAAAAAAAAAAATGAAAAATGGTCGTTCAGCCCGCATATCCTCTGTTTTTTTTTTTCCGTTGAGTTTACACGAATAAAAATGAATTCATTTATCCAATTCGAAAATTTATCAGAGAGCAATTTTCCCATCGCACTGAGAAGAATTGCATTGGCAGGTGTCAAGAACGCATGCGCAAAAAAGTAGAGAAACCGTCATGTTCGGATTGTGTATGTTAGAGGAATATCAAAAGTTGAAGCATCCCATTAATACAGCCATATACACGCATATATATATATATATATATATATATATATATATATATATATATATATATATATATATATATTTGTGTGTGTGTGCAAAAAATGATCGACAGAAAGCGATAGAAAAGACGCTGATGTTAGTTTGAAATTTTTTAAAGTAAAAATCATTCGTTTAATAAATTCAGATAATTTGATTATATATATATATATATATATATATATGTGTGTGTGTGTGTGTGTGTGTGTGTGTGTGTGTGTGTGTGTGTGTGTGTGTGTGTTGTGTGTTAAGTGTTTAAAAAGCTCGGAATTTTCAGACGCGACATAATTCTTTTTATAATGATCAGGATAAAAAATAATTGTACGAACTAACACTCTTCCAACAAAGAATACATTAAAAACAGTAAACAATATATCGTTTTTTTTTAAAAAAAAAAAACAAACTTTTTTATTCTCCTTATTTTATATAAAAAAAAAAGTAATGTATGTCCTCAACATAGAAGAAAAGGCACAATGAAGTATATGGGTATATATAGAACAAGTGATGCATTTAAAAACAATTATGCCTGTGCAGATACACCTGCACCTTATACATATTTGAATATATGTTGTTTATTTCTTCATTTTTTACACATTTTTTTACGAAACTCTCATTTAAACTTTTGAGATATTAAAATGAAATGTACTGTGAATATTCTAATTTCAGTAAGATAAAGAGAAAAATATATAATATCATTTGCTTATACACGCATGAATAATTATCATCAAGAGGGTTTTCCAAAAAAATGTACTCCGTTTTTTACTTCGGCATTAGTTTCAATATTTATAATGCATGCACTTAATATTTAATTTAAACCTTAACTTTTGTAAATCAATAAATATTCATTAACATTATATATATATATATATATATATATATATATATATATATATATATATATATATATATATATATATATATATATATATATATATTGTACAAAAATATCGACACTGTATAGTGACTGTCAGTTTCATACATGTGCTTTTCAAACTAAGTAATTTTAAAATGCTTTGAAAATCAGTAAATACGTAAAACTGCTCATCATGCGCTTTTGCTTTCTATATTCTATTTATATTTTGAAACGCTTTATGTTCAGTATTGTTCAGTCTATCCTGCTAAATATAGATAATTTTAAACTATACAAACACACACACACACACTCATACACACGCATATATATATATATATATTCATACGTTGATTTTTAATACGTTATTTTTATGGAGACAAATATAGTAAAATTGTAAAAGTAAATGGTCTGTTTATAATAAACAGTATTAACAGCATTTATCAGCCTGAATGTCCGAGAGATTTCATAGAAAATATGTGCCCGCCGACAGAAATCGAACTTGTATCACACACGGAACTATCATAGAGCCTGACGTGCATTTAGATACAGAGGAAGCGTCTGTTTAGCAAAGTCGAATTACTGCTTTTAAACTACAAATTTCCCATGATATATATGTTGAGGCCATAAAATACTGTGCAAAAAACGGTCGTATATAAAAAGTACTCAATTCAGCTGCTTTGTAAAGGGACGCGGAGGGAAAGTAATTATAAAAAAAGGACAAAAATACTTATAACCGCACACAACCTTGATTTCGACGGTCGAAACCAAGGTATATATATATATATATATATATATATATATATTTGTTCCTACGTTATTTTTATAGATACAATATTTAAGTAAATGCTCTGTTTATAATAATCAGTATTAACAACATTTATCGGCCTGAATGCCCGAGAAATTTCATAGAAAATTTTTATCCTCCGACAGGAATCGAACCTGTTACCTACACAGAACTGTGCTATACTATTAAGATACAGAAGAAGCATCTGGCTATCAAGGTCGAATTACTACTTTTAAACTACAGATTTCCCATAATTTTTCTCGAACTCTCACATCTGCTGTAAGCGTATCTAAACGTAAACAGATGACGTCAAAGGATTATTCCCGATAATTCTTTTAATAAGTTTCATTGTTATACGTTATTTATAGAGATACACATATTTAAATAAATGCTGTTTCTAATAAACAGTATTAACAACGTTTATCGTCCTGAATGTCCAAGAAATTTCATAGAAAATGTGCGTACTCCAACAGGAACCGAACCTTTATTCTAAACGGAATATCGCCTGACGTCGTATACCAGTTTAGCTACGAAGAAAGCGTTTAGTTGGCAAGGTCGAACTACTGCTTTTAAACCACAAATCTCCAATTATTTCCCTCGATATCGTATCTGCTCGAAGCGTATCTTAACGTAAACAAATGACGCCATATATACAAATAACGTATAACAATAAAATATATTAAAATAATTGTCGGACTTAGTCTATTTCATAATATATGACGTCCTTTGTTTACGTTAAGATAGCTGAAGTTACCTTGCTAACCAAACGCTTCCTTCGTAGCTAAACTGGTATGGGTTATAAGACGGCTTCGGAGAATGCATATTTTCTATGAAATTTCTCGGACATTTAGGCCAGTAAATGCTGTTAGTACTGTTTATTATAACCAGAGCATTTACTTGAATATTTGTATCTATATAAATGATTTATTTCATTTTATAAATCATACATCATTTCTGGAATCTTTAAATCAATGAAAATTAATCAATAATTTTGATATATTATCTGATAATACACGCCTTTAATTATCTGTGAGAAAACGACTATGTTTCGGAAATAAACAGAATAAAATCATTTCAATATAAATAAACTAGTGTAATTGCTGGAATTATTGAATACAATATGAAATAACTAATTTAGCAACTCATTTTTGCCTTTTCCATTGTTATTTGTTGCTTAAGCCACACTGACGTCAGTAGTGGAGTTGCTTAAGATTTAGTCAGTGCCAGACTTTCACCTGCTGAGGCCTTAGGTTATATGAAATTCGAGGCGCTTCATTAAAAGAAATTCGATTTTCGTTTCTTTTACGGAACATCAAAACCTCAATGGGTTATTTACTGCCGGCAAGAGTTTTATTGCTGGTAATATTTTTTTTTTTAAATGTATTGCTGCAAATAATTTTTTCATCAAAAATGCATTGCTGGTATTAAAACCTATTTTTACACTTATAGTGTTTTGACACCATTTTGGAGGTTAACTATTTGACCATAGCTGCAAGCCTAACAAGTGCTACCATCCCGGGTCAAGGTGGACCTGGGAACAGCAGCACTTTAGAAGTGGTTCTAAGCTCCTCAAAACCTCCTGATCAGAGGCCTTGCGGATGGGTGTAGTTTATCGTCTTACCCAGGACGCTGATGTAGTTTATCGTCTTACACAGGACGGTAGAAATTTGGGTAAAAAAATTAAACTAATTATACATGGTTATTATTTTTTAATGATAATATATTGATTTTTTATGATTTATTGTATTAAAGAACGAAAACTAGTGTTAAGAAATATATTTAGGTTTTAGTTTCTATCGTACTAGATTAAGTTTTAGTTTCTATTGTACTGGATTTACTCAAATTTGAGTACAGTTCTTTATAAACGAGTTTCTTTATATATATATATATATATATATATATATATATATACAGAGAGAGAGAGAGAGAGAGAGAGATTCGTAAACAATTCCTGAACTAAAAGAAAATCGTTGCAACCATTTACACAAATATGTTTCTTTATAAACGAGTTTCTTTATATATATATATATATATATATATATATATATAGAGAGAGAGAGAGAGAGAGAGAGAGAGAGAGAGAGATAGAGAGAGAGAGAGAGATAGATTCGTAAACAATTCCTGAACTAAAAGAAAATCGTTGCACCCATTTACACAAATATGTTTATTTATAAACTAGTTTCTTTATATATATACATATATATATATATATATATATATATATATATAGAGAGAGAGAGAGATAGATAGATAGATAGATAGATAGATAGATAGATAGATAGAATTATAGATAGATAGATAGATAGATAGATAGATAGATAGATAGAATTATAGATAGATAGATAGATAGATAGATAGATAGATAGATAGATAGATAGATAGATAGATAGATTTGTAAACAATTCCTAAACTAAAAGAAAATCGTTGCACCCATTTACACAAATATATTTCTATGTTAAAGAGTCTTGTCTCTGCGTATTTCTTTTCACTGATATTAGCGAAGTTCAAACTTCAAATTCTCACACGAAAATGTCAACGACCCCCTGAAAAGATAGTCGGTATCACATTGGTCAACCTAACACGAATTATTCAACTTCTCGATTTCCAACCAAAATTACTGTTTGGGAAATCTGCTAAACTAGACTAATTATGAAAGTACATAGAAGTTTTTTTTTTTGTCATTTTATTTATTTATTCTAATATTTTTATTTTATTTTTTGTAATTCCAATTAGTCAATAATCCCGATATCAAAACATTTACACTTTTTTTTTATGAATTTCAGTCAGTGAAAGGAAACTCTTCCATTTTATGATTGATTATCCCAAGAAAATAATGTAGTATCTTTATAGACACCTTTTTAACTTTGTAAACAAAGGTTATGTATGTATCTATAGATTGGCCACCATTTTTTCCTCCTACTCCTCCTCTTACTCCTCGTGACAATATTATTGAAAATGCCCAAAATAACAGACTAAAGTGAAGCTTTTACGAAAACAAATCATCTAGACCGTGATTTCGAACCAATTTATTCGTTTTGCAGTCAAATGTTGATAGTATATATTGTTTGTTTGTTTTGGGTTGTTTTTTTTTTTTTTTTTACTTTAATGTGTACATATATACGCTAGTCTATACGACAACAGTTACTCATCCTCTCTGCTTGTATATATGAGTTTCCTGATATTTTTTTTTCTTAATTTTTATTTTTTAGTCTTTTTTATCGTGTGTATGTTAAAAATTTTATATCCGTCTGTGCTGGTATTTATTTATGTAAAATTTACTGATGTAGAAGAAAAAAAATGTTAACTTTTTAGGTCTTTTGTTGTAAATATGTGTTAGTGCCTGTGTGTGCAAGCAGTTATTCAGGCAATCATCGGCAACGGAAATAGCGAGATTTGAACGCCCGTGCGATGCGAAAATAATGCGGGTTTCGACGCTACTTGTTATGAACACTGAGTACAAAACCAAGGCCGGCGCGACTTGTCCACGAACCCCTCGACCGTGTGGCGCGTTTTTTTGAGGCGTAGTTGTGGCCTCTGCCATTTTCCCAGCACTGTTTTATGGCATTTTCAGTCATCAACAAATAATATAAATCGGGTATCTGCATGGCCGGTGCGTACTACGCAGGAACCCACAACGAGGCTGCCATGCCTTTTTTTTTTTTTGGATATCTCAATTTCAGTTAGTTCCCTTTTAGTAACTCAACGCACCAAGTTTTTTGTTCCCTCTGCTGTGGCCAGATATTGAACTCACAACTCATTGAGTCTACTCATTTTTAATTACTTCAAACAACGCTTTTATGCACTGGATTAAACGCGAAAGTAAAAGATTCTACACGCTAAATGACCCTTCCCAGTTACAATTCCTTTCCATTTTTACACCAATAAACATGGCTACTCTAACCCATCACAAAGATACCGAGCTAGTAACGTTTCATCATCACAGTGACGGGCTTGAGTTTTCTCCGGTCATGATTGAAATTTGCACTCTCATTGAGGTTATGTGCTGTATTAGAAGAAAAAAACGAGTTATCTCCCCTAGAGATGGTCAGCGGAACGAGAACAATCTACTACCGCAGATTAAATAAAGGGTCCAGTTCCAAATACTTCGAAGGTTAACCGTATCGACAGACATCTGAAGAAGGCTGGAAAGTATAACAACTGAAACGTTGTAATATTAACGACAAAGACGAGAACATTATTCCAACCGTAGTCCTAGTAATTCACACAGAAAATCTTGGGGCAGATTTTTTTATCCGAAAAACACCTTTCTCTTGATATCGAAACCGAAAGCTTTTGTATCGCATTTTAACGTAAATGCGATTTTCTAAAAATATTCTAAACGGTTTTCTTGTCTTCACAAGCGCAGAAATATTAAGAAATGAACCTATATCACATCGGGGTGGTTTCCTGTGGAGCCCTCCCCTGGTTAGGCTAAACAAACTTTTGATTAAGTGTTGTTCCTGGCCTGCTCCCGGCTACATCTTTGGTTATGATCCAAGTTGAGATTCCCAACCTCCCCAGTTTGTTTTGACCCCCTTTCATCTTTATTGATTCCCCATGCCCGTCTATATTTTTCTCATTTTCCTCTCCCTTAATGAGAGAGCCGCTTGATTTTGTCCAAGGAGCAGAATACAGCGGCTTCTCTTTTTCGAAAGGTTGGACGGGTCCTACTAACATCAGCTACGTTTATTTTTGCTTTGTTTTGATATTTAGTTTGTTTTGGGGTTCACCCCTCCCTTTACATGATCATTCATCCAATCTGTACATATATATATTGTAAATAATATTTATCATCTCATTGGGATGTTTGTTTGTTTTTTGTTTTTTTTGTTTTGTTTTTTTTGTTTTTTGGGTTTTTTTTTTTAATCCTGAGAGGATATGGTATTATCGTGTATGAAGGATTGATTGACGACGTTTGAGTTTTTATGGTGAATGAAGAAATTGCAACGAGTGAATGGGTCGTGAATCAGATGAGCTAGTTATAAGATAGTTATTGAAGACCAGCCTCAATCCATTCCCCCCCTTTTCGGCCTTGTGCCATAACTGTATTAATTGACAATAAATCTCAATATTAAGTAATGATAAAATTTTAACGTCTAATTCTGTAGGCATACAGGGAGCGATGGATAAATTGTCGTCTAAATGGCGCCAAAATTAAAATATCACTGTCACCTCATCTTAACAGATATATTTACCAAAATTACGCAGACATAACTTGAAATACTAAAGAGCAAATGTATTCAATAAAATCGCCATTGGCTTCAACCACGGATGCCAGACGACATCGGAATCTCCTGCCTCTCTTCTGGACACTCTTCTTATTTAAAGTGGTGAATGCTGACATAATCCCTGCTTTCAGTTAATTTTTGTTGCTAAAAGGAATTTTGTTGGTCTCTCGCTCAACTGCGCCCCACATTTTTTTTTTAAGGATTACGCCCCGAGCAAGGCGTGAAGCCACTAGGATGCAGGGGGTTGCAGAAGATTTGGAGCGAGAGCAGATAGGAATGATAGAAGAAAGGATGAGGAGAGGGAGAGTGGGTAGATCAAGGCAACTGGAGATGTCGATTGACATTACATTTGAATAGTTGGAGATTATAGCTCTCAGGGAAACAGTAATTAGGCGAGAGGTGCCAGGCATGAAGCTATTGGAGTAGAAGAGACGGCTACATTTAAAAGTTTCTACAGTGTAAGGGTGGGAGCGGGATGCCAGCCTCGTAGGGCGCTTGAATTCATGGAGTCTGGGAACCAGTGAAAGCAGCTCATCGGAGCAATTACCATGAAAGTATTTGTAGAAAAGACAGAGAGAGGTGACGTCGCGTCTGTGAGAGAGTGACTGTAGCCGAGACGCCAGATCAGGGCCAATTATATTACATATCCGTCTCTGGATCTTGTCAAGAACTCCGAGGTAAACAGAAGGTGCCCCAGACCATATATGGCAGCAATACTCCATGCAATAATAATCAAGGGGGTTGCAAGTCTAGGGAGTTAGGTGGTCAGATGTAAAGGGTGATGTCGTTGCATATTTTGTCTGTCTTTCATAACTGGGTTCTCCTGCTTGTGTGGCATAGTGCAGAGTCCTATTACCAGACATAGGGTCATACAGCAGCCACCCTCTTGACCCAGAATAGCACTACCTCCACAAGGCACTTGATGTAGGCCTTCGTGTTGAATCTGAGGCCCTGTGGGAAGATGAGTGGAGGCATATCGTCGCCATCACTAGTAACTACTCTAGACACCATGATGTTGACTGGATATATCATCCAACTCTTTCCAAATCCTCTGCATTGTCCTCAGATTGACACCCAAGCACTCTGAAATGTATGTATTGGATTTTCCGGTACGTCATAGTGCTTTTTCTCACAGACGGTGCCCAACTGACCCTACTATACTGTGCAGTCGACAAACTCAAAAACAAATAACACGCATGCGCGAAATTAAAAATATTAAAAGGGCGATAATTTACCCATCGCACCCTGTATATATATATATTTTTATCTTAATTTCATTTACATTTTATTTCAACTTTTCAGATCTCCTGAAGGATTACTTAAAGGTCTCCGTGAAATACCCGGATATTGATATCAAATTCTGACGATCCATGGTCTGGAACCTTTCAGTCAGACGGAGCAAGATCACAAAAGATACCAATTAAATTGTAATCGGAAGATTTGTCAAAGCGCTTCAGGCCCAAACTGATTTAACTATTATCACAGCGTCTTCAAATGTGGCTCTAATATGTGAGATCGATGCAAGACTGTGTCGCCCTCCTCAACAACATCTGGACGAACCATAGCTGCAGCACCAACCAGAATTGATGCAATAGTTATCTTCGACAATGGAAAGAAGAGGAAATTTGCAATAGAATGATAGGAAACTCTAGAGCCCAAAGAAATGTTACTTAGATTGATCCCTCTATTTTTTAATAATGAGTCGAACTTCTTCGGCGTTACAATATAGCTGATAAAATTTACTGTTTGTAAAATATGTTTTGTGTGTGTAGTGTCTTTGTTCCCAGGGTCGTTCAGCAACTCCTATGTATATCTTTTCTTTGTTATCTGATGATTTCGAAAGTAACTGATATGTTGATACAATAGTTTTCAGTGAAAATGAATACCCTACGGCCCCTTATTAAAATGATTGGTTTTCTCCATATCCATAGAAACCAATATTACGAATGTATATGCTTATGAAGCTACGTAAATTTCAAAATTAGTTATTCCAAAATTCGCTTGAGGATGAAACAGAACTAGGCACTTTAATTTAATTTGATTTCTATAATTGAATTGGAAGTTTTTAGATTCTGTTTTTGAAACATGGCAATTCCTATGTAGCGATGGAATCATATTTTTTTTTTAAATAATTATAGTATACGCTCTACTTGTGTATCGAGCACTGCTTTATACAAATAAAAACAAAAATACTAAAGAACTCCGGATTATTAACAGTTCTTTCCTATTTTTCAAGATATTTGCACACAAAGACACGCACACACACACACGCGCGCGCGCACACACACACACGCATATATATATATATATATATATATATAGAGAGAGAGAGAGAGAAAGAGGGAGAGAGAGGGAAGGAGAGGATTAATACAAAAAATTTGTTACTGAGCTGATCGGTGTTATATTCAGCACCTCGACTTTAGTTTCGTAGATGAACTTTTGTAATTGTTAAGTCTATATATAAATGTAGGGAACAGACTCCCGAGATGATAATTCCCCGATCATTTAAATATTAACCTCTTGAATTCTAGGGTTAACCGTTGTTTCCTACATATCCTCATAAGATGTACATATTACCTCCAGCTCTTACGCTCATTCGGTAACTCTCTGCTTTGAGTTGCTTTTGAGCCATTTATTGGATGAGAGTTAATCAAACATTCGCATATATATATATATATATATATATATATATATATATATATATATATATATATATATATATGTATGTATGTATATATATATATATACCTATTTCTGATTATGTATGCATGCAGCTATTAACATATATATGTATGCGATTGTGTATAGCATATGTATATATAACTGGATGCTTCCCTTATGTGTGTTTGTGTGCGTGCGTGTGTGTGTATGTGTGTGTGTAAGAGAGTGAATGCAACAATCCAAACAACGAAAATTATCTGTGAAACAACTATTAGATTGCTACGTCATTAGCAGGTGATCAGATTTTAAACAACAATTAAGATTTAGCATTGGCACTTATGCACTCGGCACAAATAAATAAATTATAAAGCCGAAGGCAAATTACGAGCGCCGGTCGGGTAGTAAATTGTCATTGTTCTTTTGTCATTACGGCTGATCTTGAGCGCGCAAAAACGGCGATCGCTAACCTCGCATTACTTTAAACGTTGCTTGTGTTAATTATGCTCAAATCAAGTGTCGAGTCAAATTTATAAATGATTGCAAATAGATACGCCAAAGAGAAAACGTGAAAGTGAAAGTGAAAGTGAAAGTGAAAATGAAAGTTAAAATACTGACGTGATTAAATAAATTAGTAAGAGTGGTTTAATGAATTAGTGAAAGAGTAAAATGCGATTGAGAGTGTGAGTTGACAAATGTGAAAATTAAGAGAGGGGAGAGTTACGATGGAAGGAAAGAAAGAGAGAGAATGATTTAGGAAATGAAAGGAAGGTGAGTTGGGAGAGAAAGACGGGGTAAGGAATAAGTACGGTGGAAAAAAGATGTAAATAAGTGAAAAGAAACGTTTGTTAAAGATTATGTATTTTAATGAAGTGGTTGCAAGAAATAATTGATTGAGTTTACAACAGTGAGAAAAGTAGAAATGATAAAAATAAAGCTAATAGATTAGCTTTCAAAGTGGTCGTTAAAAGCAGATTTTATTATAGCAAATGAGAGGTAGATTGATTGCAAAAGAAAAACATAACGTGAGAGACACGTTAGGATAAGGAAGAGATACAAGTTCGATTAGAGAGAACAATTAGAAGAATAGGTAAAATTAAAAGAAAGGATCAAACACAAATAGGGGAAATATATGAGGTAAAATAATAGATAAGGGAGAAATATAAACAAACTGGAATGTTTAAAACGTAGTAAATAAGAGATTAGAGGGAACAGTAAAATAAGGAATGGTTAGGAGGAGAGAAATGTATATGGAGAGATTAGTAAGTACTGTAAAAAGAGAGATAAAAAGAGAAGTAAGGGAGAGATTGGGGAGAACAGTGACCAAAAATGTTGCCTCCAAGAACTTTTTACAACCTTTATTCAAAGGTACTGAAATTTATAATCATCCTAAACTCTCTCTCTCTCACTCACTCACACACGCACACATTATGAACGAAGCTTTCTCATGCCATATTAACACATCTTCAGCTATCACCGAAACATGATTTGTAAAAATGTAAACAAATTCGTTTGATGTTTATTTTCTCACTTTCATTCGAATTTTATTGCTCTGTTTGTTGCCTAGCGATGAATAATAACATGATTATCTCACCGATTAGGTTGATGCCAAATTCTTCTCAGTATTAATGTTGACGAAAGAATGGCTGTCATATATCTTAGTGGACCGACTTTACGAGTAGCAAAGACCGGACAATTGATTCAATATAATCTTTCTACGTCATCAGTGGAAAATATGGGACCGAAAAGGCACCATGAGTTACACTCCTAGAGCTTAACATGAGCCATGCTGATGGAAGGCGAGAAAAGTTCACTATGATGATGAAAATGAGAGCAGCTTTCTTTTTACAGATTTTAAAAGTAATATGCCATTTCGTGCCTAACTTAACGAGAGGTTGAAGGTCATTTACGAGATTAGCTATCAAAATGATTTTATCGAACATATCTGACTGTATACTAAGTAAGGATTAAATAATGGTGTCATCAGCTAAACACCGAGTCAAGAACTGATGACATCGGAAAAATCATTGATAAAAATAAGGAACAGATTAAACTCAAAGAAAGAGCCCTGAGGACACTCGTATTAAAGCATATAGATCTAGAAAATTGCTGTTTAAGACAAATTAATTACGCAGTCTGATACAAAACATTGAATCAAACGAAAAAAAACAAAAAAAAAAACAAAACAAATCAGCCCGACACACCATAACGCTTCATCTAGTGAAGAAGTTCAGCAAACGTATGAGATATATAAAGTAACAGCCCGAGCTTCGCCATTATTATCTAAAGCTTGGCACTCTTTCGGCAGGAACCGTCAACACGTCGGCGGTTGAGCTAGAAAAACGAAAGTCATACTATCTGTCTGAAAGAAGACCCTACGAAGATGGTTACCCAATTCGGAGTTACATGTTTTTAAAATTTGGAAAAACGCAATAAAGCAAAATTAAACAGACGAACTTTGTCGGTTGCACTCAGCAAACATATGTAGATGTATATATGACTATAACTTCACTATTAAACGGAAACTAATTGTCACTCCTGCATTCAACAAGTCTAGTCCCTAACCTACCGTCAGGGAAATTACTCCTCTAATTGTATCCAAAAAAGACGCTTCAATTAGCAACAAAACGAGAGATGCGTTTACTTAAAGCCGTTTGTTAATCAAGGCAGAGTTACCATTGACAACGTTACTTATTGCAAGGATAAGAAACGCCGAGGTCGGGCTTATTGCAATTTAAATTGCTAAGCGGCGAAGAGCCGACTGTGATACAGCACCGCAAATCATTTGAATCAGATGCGGTCTTCCTATTTGTTATGCAATAAAGTCCGATTTGATTTCGTGGTAGAAAGAACAGCCAGGGAATAGGACGAGTTACAAAGAGGCACCAGGTCTATTAATGACCTTTGAAACCGCGTGACTCTACGATTAGTAATCTGGGTCGTCCACAGTGAAACAATATTTTACAAGTTGCGAAGAAGGTAAGAAAATAATCAGAGGCACATATGGAACGAAAAGCACATATACGTAAATGTATACAACGCTCGAGAAAATCGCAAATAAATATACAGACTGTCCAAAATGTCTTTCGACAATTTCTAAGAAGAGATAACAAAAAAACTTAGAAGAGGTGACGACTAATTATTTGTTGCATATTAATGTTATTATTAAAATTATTTTAATGATATTAATAGATTTATTATTTCTTGTATGTATCAAACCGCAGTTCATGACGATTTTATGTTCCAGACAACAATTACTTTGTGGACACATTGTATATCTTTCTATATTTGTTAACATAAATGTACAGGATATCCTGAAAATATTACGTCCTGGTTATGACGATAAATTACATCCGGCAGCAAGGCTTCTGATCGGGAGGTACTGAGGCGCGGGAAACCACGCTGTTGTTCCGTGGTCCACTCTGATCCTGGATAGTAGCACCTGTTAGGGTCCCAGATATGGGTAAATAGTTAACTCCCAAAACTGGGATCAAAACATCATTAATGTATAAAAATGCATTTTTATAGTAAAAATACCAGTAATATCTTTTTGAAAAAAAATACCAGCAGTACATTCTTGAAGAATAAAATATTAACAGCAATAGATTTGACTCTCGACAAAACCTTCTTAACAAAGATGCGTCAATGAAACCTGATTTACAAACTGATTTCTTACAAAGAATATAAGAACTAATCCTAAGTATATTGTCGGCATTAAGTAACCTATTGAGGTGGATGTGTCATAAAACAAAATAAACTAAACGAAGCCAAGCCAAACTAAACCAAACCAAACTAAACCAAACCGAACCAAACTAAAATAATTGTCTTCATTTTGTAGCCTAATAGCAGCCAATTTTCCCTCAAATGATCTCAAATTTTAACAAAATGTCTACAAACTTATTTGACTGTGCGGCCTTAACTCAATGAGAATCTACCAGGAAGATGGATCGGGCCTGGCAGTGATAATGACAATGTGCTGCTGAAATGGCCACCACGCTCACCTGACTTGACACCATGTGATTTTTTTCCTATGGACCTATGGGAAAGGACAGGCCTATATCCCTGCTCTTCCCACAAAACTAGAGGAACTTCAACAGAGAATTACTGAGGTGCTGGATAATGTTACACAAGACATGCTACTGCGTGTTTGGCAGGAGCTGGACTACTGACCTGACGTGTGTAGTGTCACATGTGGTGCGCGTATTGAACATGTGAAGCTTTGTTAAAATTGTTATAAAATCAGCATCCCTTTGCATATCTTGTTCTAATTTTGACAAATAAATCTTTTATTGTTCAACATGAAGCCTTTGATTTTGCTTGCCTGGGATATATACTTACTCAGATATTCATATTTTAATTGATTTGAATTTTTGGAGACACCTTCTATATTCCAGCAAATACAACCGTACATACATACATACAGGAAATATATATATATATATATATATATATATATATATATATATATATATATATATATATTATATCCCATCCTCCTAGGGACTACCCACACGGATTACCAAATTTGTCATAACTTAATTATATATATATATATATATATATATATATAGGTAACTATATTCGTTTCGAAAAACCTTCGAAATTTTGATTTGCTAATGATCAAATCAATCACGTAGGAAAAAAGGTTTTAAAAAAAAGAAAGAGCCAGGAACATGAAAGTCTATCGAAAAAAATCGCACAGATACAGGTTTAAAGCCCAAAGAAAAAACCACGAGACGACTAAACAACTAACTAAAAGAGCTCAATATAACCGTAGAGCAGACCTAGATAGACCTAGTGAGCCAGACAAACCTACCCAGGTTTCACCAAAGCGGATCGTCGGCTTTGACGATCCGCTTAGGTGAAACCTGGGTAGGTTTGTCTGGCTCACTAGATCTATCTATCTATCTATCTATCTATCTATCTATATATATATATATATATATATATACACACACACACACACACACACACACACACACACACATATATATATATATATATATATATATATATATATATATATATATATATATATATATATATACATATATATATATATATATAATTAAGTTATAAAAAAACTTGGTAATCCGTATGGGTAGTCCCAAGGAGGATGAAATCCTGAGAGATCAATGTAAATCCAGAGCTAACAATTTAAAGAAAAACAGACCACTTTAAGGTTCCATTATAATAATTTATTTCACCAGAGCCCTTTTAAGGGACGCTGAATCATCAGATAACCCTTCCAAAAATTGAAACGGATGATGAAATGACAGTAAGTAAAAAAATATCCGCTCTTTCGCCATAGTATATATTTAAGTTTATCACACTGCTTTCTGCTTAAGCGTGCTTATATTTGGTACTATTTTGGTCACTTGGTCGAATTTTGAGCTTGATCGCATCAGTTTTCTTCCTGCTATTACAGTATAAACATGGCCGCTCCGCTATATGTGCACCAAGAAGGAATAAAGAGCAGTGATCCGAATCTACAGAGAACATGATACCTCGTCGATAACTCGCCGGTTCGCCATTACCGTCTCTTACGTTTGCTGAATCTTCTCGTCAGTGGTGGAGGTTGACCGGTGCCCTCCGCCTTTTCGTGCGTCACGCTTGTCCGGCCACATTGAAACTTCTCAATCAACTCATACACACACGGTATTATGTTAAAAAAAAACTCCGATTAATTTCAGCCCCTGACACGCGAAATTGGACAACTGGTCTTTGTTCCTGTTATTTAACCTATAGCTGGGTGAATAGAAAAAAAAACGAGAGCGAGAGATTCATGGCTTTCTCACTAATCATTACTCTATCCAGATAACTTGATTGTTACTAAATAAGCTTCAAACGGTTCATTTTATGTTTTTTTTTTATGGAGAATGGAAAGAAAGTAGGCTTTTTATTTCGGTTCGAATTCTTACTTTTGACGCCAAAGAAAATACATAATTACACTAAGATGCAGCCCAATCAGAATAGTATAAAAGAAAATGACCAAAAAGCAAGACTATTATTCAGAAAATATCACAGTTCATGAATTAAGAATATATTATTATTATTATAACGTCCATTAAAATGATAACGCCTAACATTGGCCTACATATACGGAACCGAAGCTGAAGTAAGCATTATTTTTACAAAAAAAAAGCATTGTTTTTAACATCATCTACTGTACGCACGCTCTTAATTCATTAGTGAATATTAATCATATAGATCGAAAATTATACAGAGAATATTTCAGCTAAAAGAAAATAAGCTTGTATCTATGTAATACTAGCTTAAAAGCCAGGGGATTGGTCGGCAATTAAGCTAGTGGATGGCTGTTGATTGTACCTTCGCCTTGTTCAGATGTTTTAGCGTCTCTAAGTCTTTGCATATTCTCAGCATTGGAAGCTCTCTTGGCTACCGTTTAATCTGGGTTCCCATTTGCATGGGACATTCTTTTCCTTGCAGCAGCCCTTTTGATTGCAATCAGGTGCTCTGTTGGTGGAGATTTCTTTTTGCGAGACATTTTGCTGCCGTATGCAAGATCACAAAAGTCAAAATTGATCGCTGCATTTAAGTATTGCGTTAATATTTAAGCTTACTTTTTAAAAGTACAAAGATAATTCTTCTGCCGCTACTTAATTTAACGAGAATTTGATGCACGTAGGTCCTTACTTTCCGCACAAACAATTATTTTTATTTCATGGGTGACTTTCGCTAGATTTCGCAATTAATTTTAATTATTCCAAAATTTATTTCCAAGTTATAAAAATTGTTATCGTACAAAAAACTTCGTCTCAAAAAGTCACGTAAAAAATCAAACCAAGTGTGTATCGCGTGTGGCACTTAACTGACTGATAGATATATTGTGTCTACTTATTTTTATACCTTATAGTATACCTTTATAGTAGTCTAATCAGTTTCTTGATATTAAGATGAAATTCATCAAGGAAGTCGCTGTAGTGTTTTTTTTTTGTTTTTTTTGTTTTTTTTTTTTTAACCCAAGTACTTTCGATCTTTTTCTAAGATCATCATCAGGGGTAAATTACAAATACAGCCGAATTATAACTGCGATAAAAACTGCATTTCTTTGTAATGGTGATTTGTAAAAACACGCCCGAACGCGCTTAAATTTATCAGTTGCAGTCATGGATATTTTTGTAAAACAAGCGTTTCAATATAAGAGAGCTTATCGGAAATTGGTAGAAATGTAAAATGGCATCAAATATATGCACTTTACTATGTTGCTGCCATATATATGTAATAAATTTTGTTGATTGTTGGTTGGTTAATTTTGATATAGAGAGCCTCAAGAATCCAAAGTTTTTGCTTATTTTCGTGGTATAATATATTGGTGTTGTCAACGAGTATTTTCCTGTTTTGTGAAAGTGGATAGGAATGTGCTTTTAAGTATTTCCCATTAGAACGTGTATTCGACAAATGAAGTATAAGACGTCTTGATAAGGTTTGGGGTTGTCACAATACGCGTAAATTTCAGGAATTAGTTATTCAAAAAAAATTTCGCTTGAAGATAGAACAGAGCTTGGTACTTTAATTCAATTTAATTCAAATAATTATATTGAAGTTTTCGGCTCCTGTTTTGAACCATGAGAACTCTTATGTAGCGATGGAATCATATTTTTAAATAAATAATTATATTTAGGCTCTACTTTTGTATCGAGCACTATTTTTTAAAAATAATAACAAAATTACTAAAGAATTTAGATTATTTACCTAACGAGTTTTTCCTATTTTCTATATAGTTTTACATATATATATATATATATATATATATATATATATATATATATATATATATATAAAGACTCCAGTTCCATTTTCAGTTTCTTTTTCATAGATAGATAGATAGATAGATAGATTTTTTTTTCAATGAATTTTTATATCTTAACATTATTACTAATTACTATTAACTATAGAGAGGCATCCTTTAAGGACTTCTGAATGACGAGGCAGGTTGACATTAATTTCACTGATTATAATAACAGTAATGTCAATTCAAGAATGTGTACCTAGTAAAAATAGTGTTTATATTCCTAATATATACCCAGTTACACTACCCACACATATCCACCCTCTATGTTTTACAATAGACCATGTGAAACAAAGAACAGCAATTACTTAGAAAATACGTTGAAATGAATCAAATTTAGAGAAAGGTCGAAAGGTAAATCATGAATTTCAAAATAATTGCTTCCTGAAACAGAACTATATAGATACACTATAATAGATATACCGTATAATACAAAACAATAGATATACTGTATAATACCGAATAATAGAGATACCGTATAATACAGTATAATAGATTTACCTTATAATACAGAATAAAAGATATACCGTATAATATAAAACAATAGATATACTGTATAATACCGAATAATAGAGATACCGTATAATACAGTATAATAGATATACCGTATAATATAAAACAATAGCTATACCGTATAATACAGTATAATGATATACCGTTTAATGCAAAACAATAGATATACCGTATAATACAGTATAATAGATATATCGTATAATACAGCATAATAGATATACCGTATAATATAAAACAATATATATACCGTATAATACGTTATAATACATAAACCGTATAATACAAAAAATGTATAGATATACCGCATAATACAGCATAATAGATATACCGTATAATACAGTATAATAGTTATACCGTATAATACAGCATAGTAGATATGCTGTATAATACAGCATAGTAGATATGCTGTATAATACAGTATAATAGATATACCGTATTTTCTTTTCTGTAATGCTTGTATATAAAACAAAACCGAGTTTCTGAAGTTGAAAATGAAATATATTAAATCCTTGATACCAATACAACGACCGTAGTACAGGCATCCCAATATTTGTTGTTTGCTATGTTTGTTTAACGGCATATCAATTCCTTATGGGTCATTTAATGCCGAAAATTAAATTTCTTGGTTGCTTGAAAGTAATAAAAATATAATCTATGTTATTCTGCTTTCACAATTGAATACATGGTAGATGATTCTCAGCTTTTGTGCATATACATATTTGTGTGGACATAATTACGATAAGCAGTGAAATGTTCGTTTTAGTTTTGTTGCAGTTACATTTTCGAATACTGTTTGATTTAAGAAATTCAAGGACAAATGTATATCGCCGGTAATTTTATTATAAAAATTTATTTTTATACTTTCATAGTGTTTTACCCAGTTTGCCCATAGTTGGGACCCTAACAGGTGATACAACCGTGGGTCAGTGTGGACCTGGGAACAACCGCAAGAGATGGTTCCACGCTCCTCAAAGGCCCCGAACAGGTCTTGTTACTAGATGTAGTTTATCGTCATACCCATGATGCCAACATAATATAATTTTTTAGTTGTACCACATGCATTAAAGGCTCAATATCAAATAGAAGACTGGCCCTTTAGTCTTGGTTAGCAATCAGTCTATGAGAACAACAACACTGAGAGAAAACCGGTCGGACAGGGGGCTAGCAAATCTATCGTGAAAATAAAGCCTACTTGCTATGGATACTGCCACAGAAACGACTAGTATGCTGAGGCTGTGGTCCTAATACTCTACGTTTAGAATATATGTGACTTGAGAAACAACTAGCAGCATGGCCCGGCGTTGCCCATGCTTGATTAAAAAATCGTACGACTCATACAGCAATCGCTATCACTTGACTTAAAATATTTTTGCCCTTCCTTGCCTTTAAAGGAGTGCACTTTTCCGTGCTGATGTTGCTACATGCTTTACTTCTTGCCTATCTCACACTGCGAATTTTTTTCTAAGCTCTATACTAAACATTAAACCTGTTACGAAAAAATAACTAAGCAAAATGAACACAAAACGATCAGCTTTAAAAAATGACTCGTAACTGGAAAAACCGAATGAAAAAAGAATGTTAACAGCAAATACTTTTTCACAACTAATCCAGTTCTGCGGAATCAGAAGCAACGTTGAAATTTTTCCCACTTGTGACGAATGCAGCTATCGATTTTTTTTTTTTTGCATGCTAGCATGCTAGTTAACATTTGTGTCAATCACGTGTTGGCTCTCACGCTGGCCAATAGAATCTTCCTGTCTATTCGTGGCAGCCAGCTATTGGCTCTCACTCTGGCCAGTACAAAATGGACGCAAACTACATGAAAACTGCCGTAGAAGCATGAAAAAGTCGATTATTTCCACTATCGATGGGAGTTGGGAAATGCAAAGTCGGTCTTGGGCTTCCCGCTAACTTGGAGCATGGGTATGTAAATTTTGGTGCAAATCCGTCGAAAATCGCGGCCGTGCATTTGCCACACACACACATATACATCCTGCCTTTTATAGATAGAGATACCATTTGGAACAAAACAATACACAGGCAAAATATGTTTTAACATATATACCCTTGAAAAATCAACAATGATTGACCGTTTTCATGAACGCCAAGGAACAACGCCAACTTAATTTATATGTATTTACTTTGGTACCAATGTCTTGGTATTGATTTAAAGATATTATACTTAATACGACACTCTGGATAAACTTATATTTTCAGTCGGCCGCCATTAGTTGGTTGAGCGTCTATGAGGGCAGCGCCACACATTGTTTAAAGCTTTCCGTAGCAGCTGACAGCAGAAGAGCGTTTTGGGGATACGGTCTTGCTTATTTCTTATATATAACTGTATATTTAGCCATTTAGGATAGCAAGTATATATTATATTTTGTTTGTAGTCTTATGCTAATCTTTGTTTTGCATGAAACAATAAAAAGAAACTGGTTTGGCAGCATTAATGATTGTTTTATTTCCTGTTTTTTATCTTTGTCCTATTTAAGATAACAGATATCACTGCAATATATATATATATATATATATATATATATAAAGAAATATAGTCTTAAGGTGTGCTATATTTATGGAATAAAGTGCTCAATATCAGAGATAGAGCGTGTGTAAATATAAAAGTGAACATAGAAGTCAACACTTAGAGGCGACAGTCTGTTTCATGCTATATGCAATCGTCAGGCCACATCGATTGCATATAGCATGAAACAGACTGCCGCCTCTAAGTGTTGACTTCTATGTTCATTTATATATATATGTGTGTGTGTGTGTGTGTGTGTGTGTGTGTGTGTGTGTGTGTGGAATGAGCTGGAAAGTCTATGTTTACATCGGTTTTTTAGGTGTTATTTCTATCATCCGGCATTTTATGTGGTCTGACAGTGGCCTGGTCCCAAGAGTGCCGGATTAAAGAGGTCGGACTGTATCATATTTTTAAATTGTCAACATCCTTTTTAAATTCTCATAGGTCATATAGTTTGACTATTTTTCTTTTCCTAGGAAGGGCCTGTTAATAGTTCTTTTTTTTTTTTTTTTGATTTTACTGTATCCTTTTTTATGATGCTTGTTTTGCGAACAAATAAAAAGCACAGGTCACATCCTGTTCTAAGCTGGGACTCAGACCGAATTTTAATGATCTGTGTTGAGTAATCAAATTATGAGCAGAGGTCAAAGAACGGAGGATCAATTACCGAAATTTGATTCGCTGACTGAATGAAGCCAAGCGGCGCGTAGTGGCGTCCTGTTTTTTTGTAAACAAGCCTAAAGCAAAATGGACCCCGCCTGTTTGATCTCTGCTTTCACGAACCAGGCAACTTGTTCTATGTGTTAGCCATTCTAACAATGGCCACACCTCGTTTGTTGCCAGAGAGAAGTGAATATAACAACGCGTAAAAATATAGATATAGCAAGACATAATTAATAACTATATATACCAATGCTATTTCTCCATTTAGCATTATTGGATTTCTACAGCTGGGCGTAATGGTATTGATAATAGTAATTTTATTGTTTCCTTAGACGGAAACATTTGGCATTCATTGACCGAGCAGACAGTGGCCATGTCAAATGTAGTTTATAAAATATTTCTATTAATAAACTTTTCAGAAAAAAATAAGTTTCAAAAACAAATGTTTGGTTATTCAAGAAAAAAAAAATTATATCATAGTACCCACTTACAATAAATCGCTTGGCTCTCCAGAAAGAAAAAATATTAAGGTACCCACTTCCAATCTAACATTTGGTTCTCCAGAAAGAATACAAGAGCAACCACTTCCGATTCGTGTTGTGTATGACGATAAACTACATCCGGCATTAAGGCTTCTGATCACGAGATTGGAGGTCTTGAGGAGTGAACAACCACCACTTAATTGCTGTTGTTCCCAGGTCCACACTGACCCGGGGTGGCAGCACCTGTTATGGTTTCAGCTACAGGCAAATAGTTAACCTTCAAACTTGGGTCAACACTATGAAAATATAAAAAAAAAGATTTTATAGTGAAATACCAACAATGCATTTTCATAGTAAAAAAATTACCAGCAATGAATTTTTGAAAAAAATTACCAGCAATATATTTTTAGATAAAAATAAATAAAATTTACAGCAGTACAATTTTTTAAAAAAAGAATTACTAGTAATACACATTTGTAAAGAAAATTATTAATGCTACCAATAAAATTAAATTTCGGCATTAAATGACCCATAAGGAGTTAAGCAAACAAACCACTTCCAATCGTCTTCTTCTACAGAAAGAACAAATATTAGAATAACCACGTCCAATCAAACGATAGATTCTCCAGAAACAACGAATATTAGAATAACCCCATCCAATCAAACATTAGCTTCTCCAGAAGGAACAAATATTATGGTACCCACTTCTAATCAATCGTTTGGTTCTTCAGAAGTAACAATATTAAGGCACCCAATCCTATCATGTACACAGCATCCACTTTCCTTGGATGGAAATCGTCGTTTAGTACATTTAGAATTTCTCCATTTCATTTCCTCGACAATCTATTTCACTCCCTGTTACTGTATATTATCCATGTTTCATCGCCCGTCATAAATCGTTGCAAAACCGGGACGACTGAAAACACTTTTATTATATCTTATTTGATACTGAAAGAGAAATATCAAATGCACTAACATAATTAAGTTGGTGCAAATGATTGTTCAACACTTGGCTTCGATATTTTGAATAGGTAGACTATCGTAAAACGTTGATATATTGATTTGTTTGCGTTCAACCTGAAATAGTCTTGACAACCACAGAGCATTGTGAAACTCGGTAAAATATTTTTAATACATCTGGTCATTCACAGTATTTGCTCTATAAACCGCTGAAATTTGTTTTTAAGCGTGTGAGAGCATTACGTTAGATATAAAATGTCGTAAAACAAGGCCGTGTCTCCCCAGCGGACTTATTCAACTATACACTGAGAGAATTAGAATTCCTACCAGGATTCGTTATTGGCAGCAAGAATCTTAACAACATAACATATGCAGATGACACAGTGTTGATAGCAGTTACAGAAAGTTAAAAGAACTATTACAGAAGGTAGTGATGGAAAGAGAGAACAAAGGGTTAAATGACCATTGCAAGAAAAGAGAATGCATGGTTGTTAGTAAACATGAAAATTACAAATTGGAAATACCAAAATAAAACAAGTGCAGACATTTAAATATCTGCGAAGTGTTTTAACAGAGAAAGG